CATTCATCACCGACAAAGGACTTTACTGCTACAATGTTATGCTGTTCGGCTTGAAAAACGCTGGGGCAACATACCAGCGATTGGTCAACAAAATCTTCTCTGAACTCATCGGCACATCGATGGAAGTTTATGTGGACGACATGCTGGTCAAAAGCAAAACAGCCGATTCTCATCTCCACAACATCTCCCTCATGTTCCGTGTCTTAAAGAAGTACAAAATGCGTCTCAACCCAAGCAAATGTGCCTTCGGCGTCTCTTCAGGCAAATTCCTTGGCTTCATGATCAGCCAAAGAGGCATTGAGGACAACCCTGATAAGATCAAGGCATTGCTCGACATGCAGACACCAAAGACACAGAAAGATATTCAGAGTCTCACTGGGCGAGTCGCTGCTTTGGCCAGATTCATATCCAAAGCTACCGATCGGTGCGCCCCATTCTTCAAAGCCCTTAAAGGAAGTAAACGGCAGATTGTCTGGATTGCCGAATGCGATCGAGCCTTCCAAGACCTCAAGGTCTACATGAGCAGAGCGCCCCTATTATCCACCCCTCTTCCCGGCGAAGATTTAATTCTCTACCTATCGGTCTCGGCAACGGCATTGAGTTCCGTACTCATTCGCAAATCGAACGGCATAGAGCTTCCGATTTTCTATACTAGCCATGCTCTGCAGGATGCAGAGATTCGGTACCCCGAATTGAAGAAGCTCACCTATGCTCACATTCTCCCAGCTCGCAAGCTTCGGCCATATTTTCAGGCTCACAGTATTGTCGTTCTCACCAACCAGCCTCTACGCCAAATACTACAGCGACCCGAGACGTCCGGTCGGCTTGTCAAATGGGCCATCGAACTCAGCGAATTCGACATCCGCTATCACCCTCGGCCTGCCGAGAAGGGCCAGGCCGTAGCCGATTTCATCTCTGAATTGACTACTTCCGACAAGGGAGGTCCGGCCGATATCGCCCTCGAGCCGCCTTCGACGGCATCAGCCAGCCACCCAACTGAAGGGACCTTTAATCCATCGATTCCCCTTTGGACTCTCTACGTAGACGGCTCGTCCAACCGACAAGGCAGCGGAGCCGGCTTGGTACTAAAAGCCCCCGATCAGACAACCATTGAATATGCCATCCGTTTCCAATTCCCGGCTTCCAACAACGAAGTAGAGTACGAAGCTCTGTTGGCAGGCCTTCGCCTCGCCAGGGAAATGGGTGCTCAACAGCTAAAGGTATGCAGCGACTCACAACTTGTCGTTAATCAGATACTGACCCAATTCGAAGCCAAGGATACTTCGATGGCTGCCTACTTAACGCATGCCCGCCGATTGCTCCACCACTTTCCCGCGTATCAAGTTCAGCAGATCCCCAGGTCCGAGAACAGCCACGCCGATGCCCTGTCACGCCTGGCATCGGCAATCGACGACAACATAGGTCGCCATGTGCCAATCGAAATCCTCTCTCGGCGCAGTACCGACCGAAGGGACCTTTAATCCATCGATTCCCCTTTGGACTCTCTACGTAGACGGCTCGTCCAACCGACAAGGCAGCGGAGCCGGCTTGGTACTAAAAGCCCCCGATCAGACAACCATCGAATATGCCATCCGTTTCCAATTCCCGGCTTCCAACAACGAAGTAGAGTACGAAGCTCTGTTGGCAGGCCTTCGCCTCGCCAGGGAAATGGGTGCTCAACAGCTAAAGGTATGCAGCGACTCACAACTTGTCGTTAATCAGATACTGACCCAATTCGAAGCCAAGGATACTTCGATGGCTGCCTACTTAACGCATGCCCGCCGATTGCTCCACCACTTTCCCGCGTATCAAGTTCAGCAGATCCCCAGGTCCGAGAACAGCCACGCCGATGCCCTGTCACGCCTGGCATCGGCAATCGACGACAACATAGGTCGCCATGTGCCAATCGAAATCCTCTCCCGGCGCAGTACCGCTGACACAGAGGTACATGCCGTTCGGCAGGATACAAGTTAGATGGATCCAATCCACGCATTCCTCGCCAACGGGACGTTACCGGACGACAAGGCCGAGGCAAAGACTCTCCGCCGCCGATCGGCACGATACTTAATTTTGAATCAAATTCTCTATCGGCGTGGTCACTCTTTACCACTACTTCGGTGCATAACCCCACAGCAAGGTAACTACGTCTTACGGGAGATTCACGAAGGAGCTTGTGGGGACCATTCCGGCGCACGATCCTTGGCTTTCAAAACCATACGGCAGGGGTATTATTGGCCAACTCTTCATGCCGATGCCATCAAACTTGTCTAGATGTGTGATCATTGCCAGCGTTTCGGCTCCGTCGCAAAATTGCCTGCCGAACCACTCACTCCGATCGTCAGCCCATGGACCTTCGCTCAATGGGGCTTAGATCTTATCGGCCCCATGCCCCAAGGAAAAGGACAGCTTAAATTCGCCATCGTCGCTGTCGATTACTTTACGAAGTGGATCGAAGCCGAAGCATTGGCGACCATCACCGCAGCCAAAGTTGAGCATTTCGTATGGAAAAATATAATTTGTCGGTTTGGCCTCCCGAACGCAATCATCACCGACAACGGTAAACAATTCGACTCTTCTTAGTTCAGGCACCTATGCCACCGATTCAACATCAACTTGTTCTTCGCATCTCCAGCGCACCCACAATCGAACGGCCAAGTAGAGGCCATTAACAAGATCATCAAGAAGACACTAAAGAAGAAGCTTGGGGCAGCTAAGGGAGCCTAGCCCGATTTGCTCCCAGAGGCGTTATGGGCCATCAACACCTCCTACCGACGATCTACTGGCGAAACGCCGTTTTCCCTTGCTTTCGGTACCGAAGCCGTTGTCCCTTGCTTTCATGCTTTTGGCTTCTCTGTCCGGCTCTGGGAGGTGTCGTGGGCGAGGCTACCGGCATCCTCTCCTGAAAAAGCATTCGCAGTTCTAAAGAGAATCTGTCCGTCGCGGTCATGAAGGATGTTTCTATCATGTAGGCCTGCTTGGACATCAGCTCCTCCACTACTGCCTGTTCTTGCATGGACTCGGCCGTACGTTCCGTCGTTACTGGAACGCTAGCCGAGATCCCGACCGTATATTCGGTCTCGGTACTTGTGATTGGTGAGGTGGACTCAGGAGTCTCAGAAGTCATTTCGACTGCTTTGTTTTTGAGCTTTGCTTGTGCCCTAGTTTCCACCATAAGTTTTGACAAGTATCCCACCGGGCGTACCAAAAGTGTCTGCCGCGCAAATCTCACGGCCTGGAGTTCCGGGCCGAGGGGAGATGCGTTAACACGCGGTTTCCTGCTTTTGGGTGCGGTGCGGTTGTGCGCGGGCGTGCCAGCACGGTCTACCATGCGTCGATGTGTTGATGAGTGTTGGATGGATAACTGGTGCGCCTGTTTGAACTCGTCTTCCTAATCAAACGATTGTAGCCGAGAGAGGAACTGGTCTCGGCTGTTAGGTTCACGGCCTGAACTACAAGGCCGTTGAGTGATGGTGTTGGTGGTGGGTTTTGGGCGGTGCTCCGGCGCGCTGCTCAGGGAGCGACGGTCGTATGATATATGGGGTGAGGGAACGAACAACAGAGATGGTGCTCCGGCGCCTTGAAAATCAAGGGTCGTATGATATATTGATGAATGAATTTTCCTTACAAACTAACACTACTCCTAGGAAAGCAAGTAAAGATAT